GGAATCGCAAAAAACGCACTAATAGCTTTTTTAGAATAAAATACTCAAAACAAACAACTTTTATATACTTATGAGGAATGTCAGATTTGCGCAAATACCATTTGCAATGGATATAGATTAGTAATTTGTGGACATTAGTTCTGTTTTAATTGTCTTGTTTTCATTTTCGATTAAAGTTTAGGTGATGTAAATTCCTTCCCGATTAAATGTCCAAGTTGTCAAGAGGATTTATGTATAGAGGATTTACTTTAGATTATAAACGAAGACGAGCAACGATTATAAAAATTAAAAAGAATGTCCATTAATAATTATGTATAAAATCATTTCACAGAACTTCAATTTTGTCCTAATGAATTGTGTAAAGCGGTACATTCAACAAAATTATAAAAATATACATGCTATGAGTGTTAGAAAACCTACTGCTCAAAATGTGCAGCGGAATATCATTTCGATATGACATGTACCTAGTATTAGGAAACAGAAGCTTAGAATATTTAATATTTAATTAAGGAAGGGGCGAGGAAATGTACTAATTGTGGAGTCTTTATTATTAGAATTGATGGATGTTATAGGGTAGAGTGTAAAAGATGTTAAATGCATATTTGTTGGAAAGATAATTGTATGAAATTCTTTAAAGATGCAAATAGTTGTTATGTACATTTAGATGAAAATCATTAGGGTTATTGGTGATATATGCAATATTTCATATATTTATTTATTTTTATATTTTTTCTAAATTATATACTGTAATTTTATTTAAAACTTAATCCTAAAAAGAAAAAAAAAGAACATATTTATTGATGTATTTTTATTTTATATTTTTCTTCAATTAATTTTTTAATAAAAATATAGAAAAAAAAAAAAAAAACTATTAAAAAAAATAATATATATGTTGTTACTATATTAATTAATTAACATTTTTTTATTTATTTTTTTGAAATTAATTTTATTATATAAAAATAGTTGCTGATTTTTAAGAAAATAATTAAAATTAAAAAAGAGTTTCTTTTCTTAAGTGCCAAAAACTCAAGAAGAAGAGTTTATTACATAAAGTATATTTTATTCTATACAATAAAAATATAGAATTATTAGAAAATTAATAAAAATAAATAAACTAAGATTATTAATTGGAAACTTTTTTTAACATTTTTTTTTAATATTTTTTTAAAAATAATATTTAAATTAAATTATTCTGAAAAAGCTATTTACTGATAATAATAATAAGACGAGATTATAAGAAATTCAAAATAAATTTAACTTAAAGAATGAAAGAAGATATTATTTTAAATAAATTTTTAGTATAATAAAATATAGTTACAGTATTATAAAAAGACTATGTTGTTAAAAAAAAAACTTCAAATATATATATTTTATTCTATTTAAATTTAAAAAAAATAACATGTATTTATTCTATTAACAAACATTAGAATACTTTCTTTAAGATTAATCATTAAGTCATTTTTAAAAGAAATAAATAAAAAATTAAATAATTATATTTATAAGTTTATATACAATAATAATAGTAATTTTGACATCATAATTGATAATTTATTAAGTAAATATGATTCATAGTAAACATTTCTAGCATTTCTTATAATAGAATTGATTATTTAATTGATTTTCAAAGTTAAAATAATATTAAACTCATATGCGTTTGGTGCAAAGTATTGTTTTAGGTATAAATGGATAATATTTGTGCCTTTATGACATTTTTTTGGTTTTGATTGTTTTTTATTTATTTTTAGATTATGGTTCAATATATAAAAGTTTCTTTTAAATAATAAGAATTATATGAAGATTTTTGACAGCTTTTTTAACTTATAAGGAAAGTTATAATATTCAAAAGTATAAAAAAAGTTCTCTATTAAAACCCCAACATAGAAAAAATCGTAATTTTTTAAGAAATAATATAAATTTAAGCGAAGTAAATATTATTTAAGATACTGAATGAAGTATTAATATAATTGTTTTCTAATAAATTATATAAAGTAGACATTATTGTTAAAATATTACTTTTTTGTTTGAAAATAATAATTTTTTAACGAATGTTGATATTAATCTAAATAGTTTAGTTAATTATGTGTAAGAAATATAAGATGAGATGGGTATTTAGATAACATTTATCATTCAAAATTACATGCATTTGATTTTACTTAAAAAGTTAATTTTTTTCTTAAAAATATAAATTTAAAGACTTTATATGTAATGATAATTTGGAATAATTGACGTCTATTTATTAAACGGTAAAAGTTCATGATTATAGTTATTCATAAAAGAGGTTTAAATAATGATTTTTTAATAAATACATCTCATTAGTTAGTTATATTATATAATATCTTTTTTATATAATTTATGTTATATGTTTATTAATAACTAAAATATAAGATAAATATATATTAGAAAATTTGATTTGATTTTTGATTTTAAATAATAATATAATAAGATTGCAATATTTATTAAATATTAAAGCAAAATTTATAATTAAAAATAAATATACATGTTTTCATATGATTATGTATGCTTGATATGTTTTTAATCCTATTAAAAGTACGAAATTTATTAATAATCAACTTCTAAGATTCTTTAATATTTTGATAATATAGATATATTGAAAAATTTAAATTTTTAATTAAAAATTACTTATTTAGAAGTTAATTTGTCTAAAATTTAATTTAGTTTATTGATTTTTTTGTTCAACTTCTTTATGAAATTCGTTTACTTATTTTGCAGGAATTAAATAAAATTGTTGTATTTTAGTATAGAATAAATAAAAATAATATGATCAGATATAAAAAATTTATTAAGAATTAAGAATTTTTTATTAATTAATCATTATAAATCATGCTAATATATAAGAATTTTTTTAAAGGAAAATTTAGCAAAAAAATATATAATGTAGATATTAAATTATTTAATAACATAAATAAATTTTTTGAATTTACTGTAAATAAATTTTTAACTTTAAATTACATTATTTAAATAAAATTAAAATAAAAAATTCACGTAATTATTTTGCTAAAAAAAATTAAATCAGTAATAAAAAATGAAAATGATTTAAAAAATTATAAGATTTGTTAGATAAAAAAATTAAATATATTATAAAGCAAAAAAAATATAAGAAAAATTAATATATTAATTTATAAAATAATTAATTAAAAATAAAATAATAAACTATAAAAAGAATATATTATATAAACGATAAATAAAATAAATTGACAAATTCTTATGTTTTTTTTTTAAAAAAAATACTCAAAATATAAATTATCAATTAAATATTTTATCTTGAGAAATTTAATAAAATATATCCTAAAAATCATTCATCGTATTATTTTAATAAAAAAATAGAGTATTAATCAAATAAAACTATTATGAAAAATATAAATAAAAAGAATTAAGTTTCAAAATTATAAAAAATATAAATAGTATTTAATTAATTAAAAAATAATGGGTATAAAATAGTTTATGATAATTAACAAAAATAAAAAAAAATAAAAATAAAATATATAAATATAAAATATTTGAAATAAAAAATTATATTTTTATATAAAAAATAAAATGATTTAAAGTTAAAGGTAAAAATAAAAAAATAACTTAAAAATCAAAAAATAAAAAATATAAAAAAAAATAATATATTGCAAAATTAATGTATATAAACTTTATTTTAAATAAAAATATAAAAAATATATATAAAAAAAAAATCTTGTAACATTTAAATAATAATAAATAAAAAAAGAAGAGAAAATTTTAATTCTTATTTAATAAATATAAATAAATACTGATAGCAAAATATATTTAAAAAAAAAAAAATATTTAAAATAAAAAAAATAAAGAATAATAAAATTTTTATAATAAATATATTTAAAAAATGTTATTTAAATATGAAAAAAAAATAAAAAAATTATAAATTTAAAATATATATATAATTATATATATATATATTATATTTATTTATTTTCAATTATATACTAAAATTTATTTTTCATACAATATAAATTAAAAATATAACATTATAAAAAGAAAATATTAAATTAATACATATTTAAAATCTTTTTATAAAAATATTATTTGAATATTTTTATATTAAAATAAAATAGAAAAAAATCATCATATATTATAGAAATTTTAATCACTATCTATTTTTACTATATTATATGTTAAGAAAATAAAATTATTATATTACATACTATTATAATATTAAACTTCTTCTTATTTGCTTTAAAATATATTGTTTTAAAAATCTTAA